GTGTGAACCAGTAATTGTATCTTAGACGGCCAAGAAAAATCATATCATAACAAGAAGTACGTCTGTGACCTCTGATCACCAAGAATTTAATCCAGTGTGGAAAGAGAAATTATTAATACCAGTAGCTTTACTCTGGCAATTTATAAATGGTATCATCTGTTACTAGGAATGGTTTGTAAAAGCAACTAATTCAAAGGCTGTGTCTTTAATTTTAAATGCATTGATGATTATGTTTGATACAAGACGCACAGCTCACTTGACACAATCACAAATGATGTTACAAAATTCAGCAAGTTAGCTCAGAGAGGACAGCCAGCCATATGGGCTGGATGAAATTTGCAGTGAGATTTGTTTGCTTTTAAAAGGGGAAGTTGTCCCTGTGCCCTCCAACTGGAACCTTGAAACTGATGTGGGTCAGAGTAGGAACTTCTGGACACCCAGCTTGAGAAAGCTGAATACCTTTGGCTAGAAGACCTGCTGGTAGAATGTGGTGTGCCCCCATTGAGCTGTTTGCCCTGGAGGACCTTTATTAAATTTTCCTGAGCAGGGCCTAGGCCAAGGGGCCACGGGTCTGAGAAAATAGAGGCATGTTTGTGGGCAGGGATTTGAGGCTGAAAGGATTACATTCTGAATAGTTTCGGATTCTGAATCGGAACCTGTTACTTCAGTCGTATACCCCATAGTATGTTGTTTGTGATGAACTGACCCACAATCTGCTCTCCAGTGATTTCTTCCACAAATGTCTGATTCCTATGCAGCCCGTCAGGTGAAATCCACGTGTAAAGTCATTTTTTGGTGTCTTTTAGAAAAAGTATTTGCAGTGAGTAAATCATTGTAAATAACAAAATTCAGTCATTCTATTTCCAGCCTCATTTCTTATCACCACGATTTTCCAACTAGTGTTCCTTCTTCACTGTTTCCTAATTTTGCATTCCAGTCACCAGTTATCATTAACACACCCTGACTGCATGTTTGGTCAATCTCAGACTGCAAAATTTGGTACAAATTCCCAGTTTCTTCGTCATTGACACCAGATGTCGGAGCACATATTTGAATAATAGTCATGTTATCAGGTCTTCCTTCTTTGGAAATGGATATTATCCTGTAACTTACAACATTGTATTTCAGGATAGAACTTGTAATTGACTTTTTGACTGTGAATGCAATACCATTCTTCTGTTTTTCATTCCCTGCATAATATATCATATGATTATCTGATTCAAAGTGGGCATAGCTGGTCCATTGCATCTCACTAATGCCTAGTATGTCAATATTTATGTCTTCCATTCCATTTTTAACAATTTCCAGTTTTCCAACACTCAAGAGATGTCCATTCCATGTATCAATTGTTAAATGATGTTTGTTACATTTCAGCTGACTTCCAATCTGGGCTATACTACTATAACTATCCTGTTTGTTTAGTGTTCATAGGGTTTGCAAAAGCCTTTTATTTAGGAAGTGGATGGCCCATCCTGCTTCCTAGTCTGTCTTAACCAGGGAGTTCCACCAAAACTCATCCATGATGGGAAACCCTTTTGAAATTTGACACACAAGTGGCAAAGATTTCATCACAGCAACCCCAAGTAATCTCAGTACAGCAAACTGACAGACAAGTGCTGCACCACTTAGAACAACATTCTCTTCAACACAGTAAGTTACTTATATGCAAGTTCAAACTGAGGCTGAAGAAAATGAAAATAAGTCCACAGGAACCAAGATATGATCTTGAATCAATTTCATCTGAATTTCTTGATCATCTTAATAGTAGGTTTTAGGCATTGAACAGCAATGATGGAAAACCAGAGGAGTTGTAGGATGATATCAAGGATATCATCCATGAAGAAAGCAAAAGGTCATTACTAAAACAGAGGAGAAAGAAAAAAATCAAAATGGATGTCAGGAGAGACTAAAGATTTCATTGGAGCGTCAAGAAGCCAAAACAAAAGGAAAACATGTTGAAGTGAAAGAGGTGAACAGACAGTTTCAAAGGGCAGCTCAGGAGGACAAAGTAAAGTATTACAATGGAATGTGCAGAGAACTGGAATTGTAGAATAAAAAGAGAAGAACTGCCTTTGCATTTTTCAAGTTGAATGAACTAAAAAAACAAATTTAAGCCTCATGTCGCAGTATTGGAAGATACTATGGTCAATATATTGAATGACCCAAAAAAGGATCAGAAGAAGATGGAGGGAATACATGGAGTCACTGTACCAGGAAGAATTGATTGACACTGAAAAATTACAGGAAGTACCATATGAACAGGAGCCAATGGCAGTGGAAGAGGAAGTGGAAGCTGCAATGAAGTCATTGGCAAAAAATAAGGCCCCAGGAATAGATGAGATACCAATTGACTGGTTTCATTTTACAGATGCAGCCTTGGATGCACTCAGCAGTCTATGCCAGGAAATTTGGAGGACAACTGTCTGACTAACAGATTGGAAGAGGTCCATGTTTGTTCCAGTTCCCAAGAAGGGTGATCCAACTGAATGTGGAAATTATTGAACAATATCATTGATATCATATACAAGCAAAATATTGCTGAAAATCATTCAAAACTGACTGGAAACAGCACATAGACAGGGAATTGCCAGAAGTTCAAGCAGGATTTAAAAGAGGCCGTGACACCAGGAATATCATTACTGATATCAGATTAATCCTGGCTGAAAATAAGGAATACCAGAAGAATGTCTATTTGTGCTTTATTGACTATATAGAGGTATTTGACTGTGTGGATCATTACAAGTTGTGGCTGACAGAAGAGTGGGAATCCCAGAGCAATTGTTTATGCTCATGAGGAACCTATACCTGGATTAGGAGGCTTTTGTGCAAATGGAACAGGGAGCACTGCATAGTTTGGATTTGGGAAGGGAGCATATCAGGGTTATATTCTATCTCCATACCTGTTCAGTCTATATGCTGAGCAAATTATCCAAGAGATTCTATGAAGAGGAATGTGGCATCTGGATTGGAGGGAGACTCATAACCTGCATTATGCAGATGACACAACCTTTCTTACTGAAAATGAGGAAGACTTGAAGCGCTTGTTGCAGAAGAGCAAGGAATGCAGCCTTTGGTATGGATTGTGTCTCAATATCAAGAAAACAAAGTTTCTTACCACTGGACCAAATGGCAGTGCCATGATGGATGGAGAGGAGATTGAAACTGTCAACAGCTTCATCTTGCTTGGGTTTGCAATTAATACCCTTGTTACTAGCAGTCAGGAAATAAGGAGACATTGCACTGGGAAAGTCTGCAGTTAGGGACCTTTTCAAATTATTGAGGAGTAGCGATGTCAACTTGAGGACTAAGATGTGTCTGATTGAGGCTATAGTCTTTACAGTTATTAGCTATGCATCTGGGACCTGGACAATGAATAAGGTTGACAGAAAAAGAATTGACAACTTTGAGCTGTGGTTTTGGAGAAGAACACTGAACATCCCATGGACGGCCAAGATAACAAATTATGTCTTTTAAAACTAATAAAATTTAATAATAATTTTAAAAATTATGTCTTGAAGAGGGTGTATGTAGCCAGAGAGCTCTTTGGAGGCAAGAACGATGAGACTTCGCCTCATATACTTTGGACATATTGCTGGACAGTGCTGTTCCTTGGTATATGGTGTATGATGTTGGGAAGGATGTGTCAGGAAGTGTGAGGATGGTGCAGGACAGGACTGAGTTCAGATCTTTTGTTCATAGGGTTGCTGTGAGTTGTACTTGACTCGACAGCCCCTAACAACAACATACTGTTTGTGAGTCCTGTGTGGCTATTGCAAAGAATTCTGAAGCTCTGTAGAGCAATGGCACATTCCATGGATGGGACAGTTGGTATCAGAATTGATTGGAAAGTGGAGTCTGTGTGACTTTCCCTAATGGGAATAATCCTTGAGCTGTTGATCTTGATTCTCCTTATTCTTTATTGAGTTATAGGAGGTCAGATCACATGTCCTTTTGCCATCTCTTAAAATCAGAAGTAGCAATGTCAATTCAAGAGTTGAGGAAATTCCAAGAGTTTATAAGCTAGTACTTACTGCCCAGGAACCAGGGACAAAATCTGACCAGATTTTAGTACCATATCTAGAAAACTATGCAGCCATGAATTGAGTTAAGTTGCATAACTATTATGATACTAATGAACTTTAATAGAAATAAATAATCTATTAGGTTTTTTTTTTTCCTTGTGTACCATTGAGTCAGATCCAAATGGCACAGGAGATTGTCCATCCTTCTCCAGTAGAGCATCTGGTGGTTTTGAGCCATGTGCTTTCGGGTTTGCAGCACTTCTTGCCACTAGGCCACCAGAGTGCCCTTCTGTTAATCTTTCAAGTACTTGTTCATTGTCACACAATGTTACAAGTGTCTGTGTGCACAAATGTGCATGTATTTGTTTCCTTGTTTATCCTTGGGATACTTGTATTGCCCACATCACTGAACCATGTACAGATAAGACCCAAGACATGTAGGGAAACTTAGGTGCACTGAATGAAATATGTTCTCATCACAGTTGCCAAAATTCAACACACTGAATGCTGGAGTGTTGAATGTGATCTGTGCCTTGATAGGTGAGAACATAATACATGCCTATCCAAGCTTTACTAAAAGCTTATTAGTTTGGCAAGCATTAAAGAAAAGTTATATGAGGGTATAGTTTTATTTATTCCATTCTCAGGTGTGAGAATGGTGAGTGCTGTCAACTTCTATTGAGAGTAAATTGTCCATCTTTTCTAAGGCAGTTGGTAGTACAAATCAAAACATAAGATATATACATCTTAGTATACAACGTTTATAAGAGTTTACCATGTAAGGACAACACTAAAAACATAAACTTTCCTTTGTTACTGAGCGCTAGGTGAAGCTGAGGAGATGGTATTGGCAAGATAAGAACATAAGGACAGGGAAATCTACAAATTACTCGTGTCCCCCTAAATCTGGAACAACTTCTCAATTTTCCAAGTGGATAGTGGTTGTAAGATTAAATATATATGTGCTTCATTTTGTAGAACTCAGTGGCATTCAAGGATGTGGCCGTGGTCTTCACTGAGGAGGAGCTGGGGCAGTTGGACCCCACCCAGAGGAAGCTGTACCAGGATGTGATGCTGGAGAACTTCAGGAACCTGGAGTCACTGGGTGAGGAGTGTCTCTGGCTTGTCTTTATCTCTTCAAACTTTAAAGGTCCTACAGTAGCCAGGAAATTAAAAGACATTGCGATGGGAAAGTCTGCTGTTAGGGACTTCTCCAAAGTACTGAAGAGCAGTGGTGTCTCTCTGGAGACTAAGGTGCATCTGATAAAGGCCATGGTCTTTGCAATCACTTGTTATGCATCAGAGAGCTGGACAATGACTAAGGAGGATAGAAGGAGAATTGATGCCTTTGAGCTGTGGTGCTGGAGAAGAGTACTAAGGGTACCATGCACTGCTAGGAAAATAAACGGATTCATCCTGGAAAGAGTCAAACTGGGCGGCTCCTTGGAGGCAAGGATTCTGAGGCTCCGTCTAACATACTTTGGACATGTTGTAAGGAGGGACCGGTCCTTGGAGAAGGACATCATGCTTGGGAGGGTGGAGGGACAGCATAGGAGGGGAAGGCCCTCTATGAGGTGGATTGATTCAGTGACGGGGCATTTGGGATGGGTGTATCGAAGATGGTGCGATTGGTACAGGACAGCGCGGAGTTTAGGGGTGTTGTACACAGGGTCGCTATGAGTCACAAGCAACTCGATGGCACATAACAACAACAACAACATAGTTACCTATATCGTATCAACTGTTCCTCCTGCCAACAGTTTTTGTGAAATAAAACAGAGTAGAAAATACCTGAATTCACTACAAAGGAAGGAACTTACTACAATACAAACTGGTGATTACATGCAGGGTGTGAGAGTCAGTGGGAGGAGATTTGATGTAAAGAGACTTTGGTTTAAAAGTAGGTCAGCCTATGTTTGCAAGTGTCTGGGTCTTTAAGTAAAGGACATTTCTTCAAGTGCATCATCAGAGATCAGAAGGTTGGAAAGCACTGCTTCTGGTTACTTTTGGAATATGCAGTTGTTGATGGTGGTGTTAGCTGCTGTCGAGTTGAGTATGACTCCTGGCCACCCTGGGAACAACAGATCTGAACCCTGTCCTATTCTGTGCCATCCTCATCTTCTCTGACATTCTTGACCACATTGCTGCAGTCATTGTGTCAACCCATCCCATCGAGGGTCTTCCCCTCCTGCACTGTCCCTCCACCCTCCCAAGATGACATCCCTCTCCAAAGACTGGTCCCTCCTTGTAACATGCCCAGTGTATGTCAGATGAAGCTTCAGAATCCTCGTCTTAAAGGAGCATCCTGGTTTCACCCTGTCCTGTTTGTTCTCTTAGCTGTCCATGGTATGTTTAATACTCTTCTCCGCAGCAATAAACATGCAAACATCTGTTTAGATGGCAGCTCTGGTTTCTTTTGGCTCTCTCATGGGTTTTGTTAAAGGGCTGGTGGTCTTCTTTGGGTTTTGTTAATGTTTAGTAGGTTAGAGCCAGGAGACCTGCTCTTGGTTTCGATGACATCTAAATTGGAGAACATGATATGCAGTATAAGAGGCCATTTGAACTTCTCTGGGCTCAGTGATGTCTCATTCGCTATCCAAGTGTGAAATCTTAGCAGTACTCAACAAATTCTTCACTTCTTGTATTTCGATTTCTCGATCCTTCTAGGAGACGAGAGTTCACAGCAGATGACGACTATTCCACAGCCAGGACCACACGAGGATCTTTCCACTGTGCAGATCTGGCAGCAAACTGCAGATGACTTTACCAGGTGGCAAGACCCTCTGATGAGTTCTTCTCAGTCCTACAGACAAGTTGCCTCACCCTCTCCCATTGCCAGAGACCCACCTGTTACCCACACAGGAGAGAAAGCTCAGCAGGGTCATGAGTTTGCAGCGTTGGCCTGTGAGCACTCCAGTGGGGCTCTTCTCCAGCGTTCACACTCGAGAGAGACAACTCACACGTGTAGTGAATGTGGAAGGAGCTATCGCTTTATCACTGTCCTTAGTAATCATCAGAGCATGTGCATGGGCAAGCACTTTTATACACGTGCTGAAACTGGGAAGGAGCTCAGGCAGAGTTCACGTGTGAATGTCCACCCTGTTGAGAAACCGCACCAGTGTGAGCAGGGTGGTAAACGCTTCCATCGAGTAACCCCCAGTGCTCATCACACAAGCCTTAGAGGAGACAGAGAAGCAAAACCTTATCATTGTGAGGAGTGTGAGGAGCTTTTCCTTTATCTTTCTCATTTTCAGGAACATCAGAGAATCCACACAGGGGAGACATTATTTAAATGTGATATTTGTGGCAAGAGCTTTCCTCAGAGAGCAACATTTAATCCTCACCACACAGCCCACACAGGAGAGAAACCTTACAAATATGAGGAGTGTGGGGTAGGTTTTGCTCACAACACAGATCTTTATATCCATCAGAATGTTCATGCAGGAGAAAAATCTTACACATTTGAGAAATGTGGTGAGGCATTCCTTCAGTCTTTGCAATTTAAGGTCTATGAAAGAGGCCCTGAAGAGAAACCATATATATGTAGTATGTGTGGGAAAAGTTTCATTTACAGGTCAAATCTCCATTCCCATCAGAGAGTGCACACTGCAGCGAGGTCATATAAATGTGATGTGTGTGGGAAAGGATTCACTCGGAATTCCTATCTCAAAAATCATCAGATGATCCACAATGCAGAGAAACCCTTTAAGTGTGAGGAGTGTGGGCAAGGCTTCAGTTGGAGTTCAAGACTTCAGCTGCACCGTTTGGTGCACAGCACCGAGAAACCATACAAATGTGACCAGTGTGGGAAGGGCTTCAACAGCAGAGCAGATCTTAAAATTCATTACAGAATCCACACAGGAGAGAAACCCTACAACTGCGAGGAGTGTGGGAAGGCCTTCCGGGCTGCTTCACAGCTCCTGGCTCACCACAATGTCCACAGTGGAGAAAAACCGTTCAAGTGTGACACATGTGGGAAACGCTTCAGTAGTCGGTCAAACCTCCATGTTCATTGTAAGATCCACACAGGAGAGAAACCCTATAACTGCGAGGCGTGTGGGACGGGCTTTAGGCAGGCGGCCCATCTTTTGACCCACCAGAGAGTCCACAGTGGAGAAAAACCCTTCCAGTGTGAAGAGTGTGGGAAATACTTCAGCACACGGCAGTACCTGCAGATCCACCGGCGAATCCACACAGGAGAGAAACCCTATAACTGTGAGGTGTGCGGGAAGGGCTTCAGGCAGGCTGCACATGTCCTCATCCACCGGCGGGTCCACAGTGGAGAGAAGACCTTCCGGTGCGAAAAGTGCGGCAAGGGCTTCTATCAGAAGTCCAACCTGCAAGCCCATCAGCGGGTCCACAACGAGGACAGGCCGTACAAATGCGAGGAGTGTGGAAGCCGCTTCAAGTCGAGTGAGAACCTTCACACACATCAGAGGGTCCACACGAAGGAGAAGCCGTTTAAGTGTGGGGAGTGTGGGAAGTACTTCAGCCACGCTGCCAGTCTTCACTACCACGAGCCTGTCCACTCCGGGGAGAAGCCGTTTGGGTGTGATGTGTGCGGGAAAGTCTTCCGGCGCTCTTCTCATCTCCATTCTCACCAGAGAGTCCACACTGAGGACAGGCTTTGGTAGGATGGAATTAGTGGTTCAGAGCTCCAGTTGGAGATCACATCTTAGAGATCACAAAATCTGGGCTCATGATGCAGGAACATCAGAGAATCCTGACAGGAAAGGATTCTGCAAGATGGAGACTTTAAAAACTTGTAGTCTTGGAGAAGAGACAACCTTGGTTTTAGTTAAGTTTGTTTTCTCTCAGCAAAGCACACATTTGAGTATCTTTACAGCAAGAGCATTAGTTAGAACTGAGATTGCCAGAGTGCACCTCAGAGGCAAGGGTGGCAAAGCCTCACCTCATGTATGCTGAGCATGTTGTCAGGAGAGGCCGTTGCTTGGAAAAGTGAAGAGGTCAGCAAAAGAGAGGAAGATCCTCCAAAAGATGGATGGATACAGTGACGGCACCAGTGGGCCCAACGTGGCAGAGATATGAGGCTGCACAAGGTAGGACAGAGTTTAGGTCTGGTTCATATGAGGCCCACGTGACAACACCAAACAACAACTTCACTAGAGAGCAGACTTTGGAAAAGAGTTTGATCTGTCTAACAAAAACATGATGATGGGCATACCAAAAATTGCTATCCATTAGAATGTCAACTCCCTAAGGGCAGGCACTTTGCTGCCCTGTGTTTGTAGACATGTCCAGTGTTTTATTAAATGAATAAAAAAAGAGACTGTTTACAATACAAGTATGTGTCACTTAATGTCTTTTCAGGTAATGCCCAATTGCGTTTGTCTGTGATTTCATAAAGTTATGATTGAGTTTAGGAATTCCAGTGGGAGAACAGAATGGTGGGGAAGTCCTGGCTAACTATGGAGCTCTGATCCATCTCTGATCCTTCGCTGTAGTTTTCTAGGTCCTGAGGATGCAGGGGGAGGGGTGTTACTGCTCGCCTTAGGCAGTGGTTGCTCAGACTGCTAGAACTGTTTGACTGGCTATGCTGCAGAGGCTAGCAAACTATCTGCCTGCATGGGCAGAGCAGACTCCTGGGCTGAGTGTCACAGTTGTGGTAGAAGGAGAGAGAGGAACAGGGTCAAAGGGGAGGGCTGAGCAGGGCTGGAAGAATTTAAAACTCACAGTTGTTAGGTATTGACAAGTCAACAACTACTCACAGCGACCCTACGAACCGCACATCAGAACCGTGCCCTGTCTTGTGCCATCCTCACCCTCTCTCTCATGCCCAAGCCCATGACTACTACATGAGAGGTCGTTCCTTGGAAAGGTTAAGAGGTCAGCAAAAAAGAGGAAGATCCATCTGGAGGACCTTCGGTTTCCCAGCAGCATGTCCTGTCCAGGGACAGGTCCCTCTGACAACATACCCAAAGTATATGAGGCAGAATCTCACCGTCTTTGCTTCTAAGGACCCTGCTGGCTGCACTTCCTCCAAGACAGATGTACTTGTTCTGGCAGCCCGTGGGATCTTCAATACCACAATTCAAAAGACCAGTTCTTCAGTCTTTCTTATTGGTTGCATAAGAAGCAACTGAAAATCCCATGGATCTGATCAGGCACACTTTACTTTTCAAACTGACATCCTTGCTCTTTTATCATTTTAAAGAGGTCTAACTAAAATTCACTAGGTCTCTTGGAGAAGAGTATTGGACTCCCAAAAGCACAGAAATGTTTTTCCTGGAGGAAGAAGTGCAACCATGGTGCTTGTTAGAGGCAAGGATGGTGCAACTTCATCTCACAGGCTTTGAGCGAGAGGGGCCAGTTGTGGGTAAGGGACATCACGCTGGGAAAGGAGGAGGGTCAGTGAAGACGATGACCTTCACTAAGATGGATTGTGACTGTTACTTGGGCTCAAGGATATCAGGTGGTAAGAATAGTGCAGAATATGGCAAGGTTCAGAGCTCTTGTTCCTAGGGTCACTATGAGTCGTAGTCAACTCAGTGGACCTGTCAACAAAAAAAGCTTACTAGAGGGAACTAAAGGAGCCCTGGTAGCCTAGCGATTGAAAGGTCAGCAGTTCACATCCACCAACCACTCCTTGGGAGAAAGATGAGAAGACTTCTGTAAGGATTTACAGCCTCAGAAACTCAATGGAGGTCCACTTGGAGTTGGAACCTACTCCACAGCAGTAGTGGACGGGAGGAGCCAGGAGAGCAGGCAGAGTGGATCGGATGGTGAGGTCGTTTCAGGAAGCCAGGGAGGGAAGCAACCGCTGGCCTCAAGGCCCTTGTAAACCAGGCTGGGCTAGCAGTGGCAGAACCACAGTTTTTACTCAATGTGGCTGCTATGGCATGGGTTTGAGGCCTGCCTCATGAGCTGCTTCTCCTGTGTAGTACATGGTGTTGAGGTAACATCCTGTTTTACAGAATATAATATGGATATTAACATAACACCACAGGCTGAAAATGATTTCCAGAAAGGATGGCAGGAAAAATGAATATTCAAGGCAACATGTTGTTGTTAAGTGCACTTGAGTCACAGGCAACTCACAGCGACCCTATGAACAACAGTCCTGGACACTTCCTGTATAACTTCCATCCTTTCTCCAGGTTCATAGGGTTTCCAGAGGCAAGATATTGTGGAAGTAGATGCCACCCCTGCTTCCAAGCTTGTTTTAATTGGGGAGCTCCACCAAACACTGTCCACCATGCGTAACCATCCTCACATTTTTTTCTATAATTATATTTTATTAATTTTCATAAACATTTACAGAGATTTTGGGTTTCCATTCATTCATTGTTGCACTATTCTCTCTACCCTCC